CAGGAGTTCGAGACCAGCCTGGCCAACATGGTGAAACCTCTTGTCTACTAAAAATACAAAACTTAGCCAGGCATGATGACAGGGGCCTATAATCCCAGCTACTTGGAAGGTTGAGGCAGGGGAATTATTAGAACTCAGGAGGCAGAGGTTGCAGTGAGTCAAGATTACACCACTGCCCTCCAGTCTGGGCAACAGAGAGAGATTCCTTAAAAAAATAAAAGAATATAATATTAAAATACTTTAATAATAGAATTATTGAATTCAGAATATAAAATAATCATGATTAAAATAACAGAATAATTAAAAAGTTAAAAAAGAAAGAAGCACCATATAAAATTCCTAGCAATGTTGAAAAAGAAGCAAATATATTTTCTAGGAATAAAAGATTTCCTCGGCCGGGCACAGTGGCTCAAGCCTGTAATCCCAGCACTTATGGAGGCCGAGGTGGGCAGATCATGAGGTCAATAGGTTGAGACCATCCTGGCCAACATGGTGAAACCCCGTCTCTACTAAAAATACAAAAATTAACTGGGTGTGGTAGTATGCGCCCGTAGTCCCAGCTCCTCGGGAGGCTGAAGCAGGAGAATTGCTTGAACCCAGGACGTGGAGGTTGCAGTGAGCCGAGATTGTGCCATTGCACTCCAGCCTGGAGCCTGGCGACAAAGTAAGACTCTGTCTCAAAAAAAAAAAAAAAAAAGAGATTTCCTCATTGAAAAGAACAGTCTAAAGAGTAGATTAGAAAGGGGAAGAGATTTAGTGTCCTAAAAACCAGATATAAAGAACCCAAAATATCATTTATAAAATCAGGTAGAAAATATTAGTATTAAAAGACATAGATTGTCCAAAGAAACTGTCATAAAGCTAGTTGAGAGAAAGAATATGAATATAAGTTATTGAGAAAAAAATAATCTTTTAAAGAATTAAACGTTAAAAATTTTCTAATCCTGGTGAAAGATATAAATCTGGATTCTGGGCCAGGCACGGTGGCTCACGCCTATTATCCCAGCTCTTTGGGAGGCTGAGGCAGGTGGATCACGAGGTCAGAAGTTCAAGATCAGCCTGGCCAAGATGGTAAAACCCCATCTCTACTAAAAATACAAAAGTTAGCTGGACGTGGTGGTGGGCACCTGTAATCCCAACTACTTGAGAGGCTGAGGCTGAGAATTGTTTGAACCCGGGAGGTGGAGGTTGCAGTGAGCTGAGATTGTGCCACTGCACGCCAGCCTGGGAGACAGAGCAAGACTCCGTCTCAACAGTAAGTAAGTAAGTAAGTAAGTAAGTAATTAAATAAATCTGGGTTCTGGAAGCACAAAGAAATCTACATCTAGGCTGATGGTAGTGAAGCAGCAGAACCCTAGAGACAAAAGACAGTAAGCCTGAAACCCATCCAGAGAGAAAAGAAAGGTCACCTACAAAGGAACAATCCCTAGACTGAAAACACACATGTCAACAAAGCCACAGGAACCAGAAGATAGTAAAATGTCTTTGAAATGATTGGAGACAACTCTCAACCTTGTACCCAACTAATATCTCAATAGTGTCTGCAGACTGAAGATATTTTTGCATGAATAAAGATACGTTTACCACCACAGATCTTCTGTGAAGGAAAATGGATACATAGAGAAAGTCTGAGATGCAAGATGAAATGGTGAGCAAAACAACTTCATGGGCAAACCTGGACAAACACTGATTGTTAAGAACATCTACAGTTAATATATTAAATAATATCTGTGTGACACCAAAAATATAAGTTAATGTATTTGTCAAGAACGATGTGTAAGATGGGAGATGAATAGCTGAATTTAAAGCATTATTGAATTCTACATTCTGTATTACAGGGAAATAGTAAAGACACCGATCAGTATTAGACTACGTTAGCTTTTCCAGGTCAGTAAGGGATAAAATGAATATACAAAAAAAAAGAAACTTGGTCAATTTTAAGTAAGGTGTAAAGGGTGGAAAAAGATAAGAAAAATGTAGGGTAATAGCACAAAATAAATAGTAAGTCCAAAATTACCAGTAACATCAACAAATTTAAGTAAACTAAAGCTATCAGGTAACACACAATGACCGTAAGAGAATTTTTTAAATGCAAATAAACCTTCTCTACAAATTACTCACCTTGAACTTGAAACACAAATATAGTGAAAGTTAAAGAATAGAGATTCAATGCATTAGGTGAGTACTAAAAAAAATAAATGTGACACAGGTGTGTTAATATTAGATAAAATAGTCCTTGAGGCAAATATTAAATTACTAAGAATAAAAAGAACCATTATACAATATGAAAAAGAAAAATTGACCAGAAAAATATAATAACTCTTATTTCGTATATATTTAGCCTTTAAGTATTTAAAGCAAAATTGCCAGAGTTACAAATAGAAATGGACAAATATCATCCAGGGAAATTACAATGTACATTTTTCTCAAGGAAACATGAAATACTTTTAAAAACTGACCACATTTAAGTAATAAAAATGCCTCAACAAATCTCAAAGAATATTTCTACACACCCCATTCTCTACCCACAATGCAATAATTAGACATCAATAACAAATACCCTCTTTTAAAATCTCCAGATGTTTATAAATTAATAGCATATTTCTAAGTAACTCATGGATCAAAGAAGAAAATCTAGTGAAATTTAGACAATAGTATGAACTACAGTAGAACAATACTACATATCAAAATCTATGTGAGACAGCTGAAGCAGTACTTGGATATTTTAAGATGCATATACCAGAAAAGAAAAGATTAAAAATTAATGGATAAACGCTCAATTCAGGATGTTAGAAAAAAGAAAATACAATGAAGGAAGGAAGTATTAGATATAAAAACATAAAGAAGATATTGAGAGGAGCTATAAAAATATATATACACAGCAAGTGAATAACTTGATTCCAAGGAATATACTCTAGAAAAATTCTACCACAAGTACAGAAGAAGACATAAGCAAAGATATTTACAACAAATTAATTATAGCAAAATACTGGTAACATCAATAGTGGAAGGGTTAAATACACTGGAATATATCTATCCAGTGGCATTCTATTCTACACAGCAAAGGAAATGAATAATTTCGCTCTACATAAATCAACATAAATAACCCAAAAAAGTTTAACATTAGAATTTAAAAGTTGCAAAGGTATACATCCATCATAACAAAATGCATATAAAATTTGAATTTTGTATAATTAATATGTTTTAAGCTTGCAGATATATATGAAGTAAAATGATAAAGACACATAGTGGAATGATAAAAACTGACTTCAGGGTAGCAGCAGCCTCCTACAAGAGAGAAAGGAAATCTATAGGGATAAATAATGAGTTTTCACTGTACAGTAATAGGTTTATTTTCTTAAGCTGGACAAACATGTTTATGATACTATTTTTATACATTTTTATATCTAATACATTTAATAAGTTGTAATAAGCATAAATATAAGCCTGTGAGTCATTAGAAGAAAAACAGAAAAATGTTTTTACATATTAATATGTTAGAAAGCCAAGAAATGCATCAAAATTCAGAGTAAAACATTTGTCATAAATTTTTTAAATTATATTCAAAAATTTTCAAACAGATGAATAAAGTTGCAAGGCAAATCATACACCAGGAGAAAATATTTGCAAAAATACAACAATATGTAGAAAAGTGTTTCATACTCAAGATATTTAGAAAGTTTTTATACATTCATTAAGGAAATAAAGACAACACAAAAACTGAACAGGAAAAATTACAAATGATTACTAAAGGTATGAAAAAATGTGCAACTTCACTAGTAATCAAAAAGGTGTAAATTAAACAAATGAGATATAATTGGGAAATTTTTCCAATATTAAGGATTTCAAATGTTGAAAAGAACATATGAAATAATCCCTGTTATATATTTTTGACAGAAGTACGAATTACTGAAAAAAAATTTAAGTCAATATTGTTAGAGCCTGCCATCTATCAATTCAGCAGTATGAAATTTTCTTATCCTTTAACCTTGTAGTTCCAGCTAGAAATATATTGTTGCAGCATGTTTGTGACAGTCAAAATCAGAAAACATTAAATGCCCATCAAAAGGGGAATAATTGACTGAGCACAGTGGCTCACTCCTTTAATCCCAGTGCTTTGGGAGGTCGAGGAGGGCTGATCACCTGAGGTCAGGAGTTTGAGACCAGCCTGACAACATGGTGAAACCCCATCTCTACTAAAAATACAAAAATTAGCTGGGCATGGTGGCACATGCCTGTAATCCTAGCTACTCAGGAAGCTGAGGCAGGAGAATCATTTGAACCTGGGAGGTGGAGGTTGCAGTGAGCTGAGATCACGCCACTGCACTCCAGCCTGGGTAACAGAGCGAGACCCCACCTCAAAAAAAAAGGGGAGGGGTACAAGAGCAGGGAGGGGGAATAATCAATAAATCGTAATAGTCTAGCCCATAGAATACTAGCTGGCTATTAAAAAGAATGAGGTACACTAACAATAATACCTAACATTATTCAATGTCAGGTAATGTTCTAAGTATTTTACATATATCAACACATTTTATCCCAAAGAACTCTATAATGTGAATCTCAGTCTCCACATTTTGCAGATAAGGAAATAGAGGCATAGACATTTAGATAACTAGTATAAGATCACTCAAAGTGGCAAAGGCAGGCTTTGAATTTAGGCAGGCAAATGGGAGAGCCCAGGCAATTTATACTGGGTGATGTTGCCTCCTATATGAATTGACATGGAAAGGCTTCCAAGTGAAAAGGTATGCACATAATGAGAAATATGACAGGCTGTACATATATGCACATTCCAAGAAAGGTGCCTGAAAAGTCACAAGCCAAATGGTCGAGGGTCATCTTGTATGGGAAAGGAAGGAAGAATACAAAGAGGCCACAGGCAATCTTCATTTAGACCTGTACTTCTCAGATGGGACCAGCAACCACATATGTGAATATTGCCTGTGTAATTAAAACAACCCAACACCCAACACGAGGTAATCAAAATCATCTCTGACCTTCTGGTGAAGATGGTTTACTCCCATTTCCTCTGTCCACAGCTTTGACTCTGGGCTTTGGTTCCTTTCTTTTTTCTAAATCTTTAACTGGAAGAAAAGTAGAGATACAACACCATGTCATATTAAAGTCTAAAAGAAAATATTCAATGAGTTTTACTAAAACCCTTGCAAGCCCTAAAAGTATTTATAGAAATGAGCTCCATGGTACAAACTCATCCCCAAATATTAGAACTGCTGCTTTTTTTCAACCTTGTCATGAGAAGACACAAAAACATTTAAGGAATTACTTTGGCTAAGTATGCAGTATGCACAATGTGTCACATATATTTAATCCTTCATACCTGCTTTAAAATCAGCATAATTATCCCTGGCTTATACATGATGGAATGAATAACCAGGAAACTAAAATCTATCTCATAAAACCAGTTAAGTGCTGGTACGGGGTTAAAGCCATATCTTCAAGTCTCTGGACTTAGCCTATGAACTTGGTTCCCGTTCTAGAAAGATTTTAACCATGAACAGCCTCATTTGGAATTGCTCCAACTGTATATATATATATATATATTAAAAAAAAGTGAAGATCCTTATAATAGTCCTTTTCAAACATAAGAAGTTTCTCTATTAATAAATGGTAGTTTTTCTTTATGGATTTAATTAGAAAATATTAAGGAAACAAAAATGTCTTCTGGCCTTTTAATAAATTCATATCAACCTATATTCGTAGCTTAACTTTCCACTGCATTCTCTCCTTAAAACTGCACAGCTGCTTTTCTGCCAAATAGCACCTTAGGCTGTTGGAAGCAGTCAAGACCCTGCCAAATGGCAATGGTTCTTGCACAAATAAAACACCCTGTGAAAATGCAGAAGTGAGCCAAGGTATTTCATTTAATTGCTACCTTCGCTTCATGGAAATCAACAGATGTATTGGAGGGCAAGCTACATAGGGGAAGCAGCGATTTCCCCTGAACCACCCTTGCTGCCTTCTCCGGGATATTGTTCCATTCATCCTGTCTTTATCATATCTTCCTCCTCTTTCTTTCCACTGTCTTTCATCCCTTTGCTGAAATGGTTTGAGAGTTGTCTTTTGCCAAGGTCATGTCACCCTAATTCCATTATTCCTTGTCTTAGAAACCTTCCTTGGCTTTCTGCTACCCAGAGATTAAATTCCAAGATTTAAAAAAAATTTTTTTTAAACATTTTAAAAATAAAAATATAAGATGCCTTGATCCTGATATGTATAAATTTTTATAATAACTTTTAAAACCTCATTCACTGACTTCTTTATAAGCCTTGGCACTTTGGAGCATCCCCCCCGCCCACACCCCCCCATACACACACCACTTTCTTTTCCTTCTCAGTTTTTACAATGGCTTTATCCTGGTTTTCTTCTTTCGAGTACTCCTTTTCATTCTCATTCTTTGGGCCCTTTCTCTACTACTATTCAGGAAACACGATTATATACGAAGGTTGCCTTGTGTCTCTGTACAACCCACCTGTAATTTTGCCGCCCTACAATTTAAATTCTGACCCTTTCATCAATAATTTCCAAATCTGTATCTTCAACCCCACCCACACATGGGCTGTCACTCCAAATTACTTGCTTTTCCACAACAGAGTATGTCTGCAACTTTAATAGGAGAAAGATTGTGCTGAACGGTGCTGGAGGTAGGAATGGCTCTAGGAAAAACTAATAATAAATTCAGAGTTAGAGACTTGGAGAAACTTCCTTGTTGAGCCAGACTTTCAAAGAAAGGCAGGGAGTTTGCAGGCAAAAATTGATAAAATACATTTAAAAGAGAAAAAAATTTCCAAAATAGAATGTGGTGAATTCTTATAATTTTATGTTGCCTCAGCATCCATTTTAAATATGTTAGACTTACTCTTACTAGAAACATGCTCAGTCACATTTGACAGTTTCCAGTCCTATAACATATCCTGAAGCTTTAGTTACTAAATATGGTTAATCCAGATATCTGCCTTATACAACTGCTCCCTGCCCATCTTTCAAAGTCTAGTTCAAATGTCACCTTTCCAGTGAAGTTTCTGCCAGTCTCGACTCAGGGGTTACTCTTATTATTCATTATTCTCTCCTAGATCTATTTCTACCTTCTACTTCCCTATGGGAGAGCTGCACACAGCCCACTTGACCAGCTCCACTGACCCTCATTCTCTGCACAGACTATGTAGATAGGCCACAGTGACCACCTCTCAGTCACAGTGTGACCTCCTGGAACTCATGCCTGCTTGCTTTAAATCCACCAATTAAAACCCTCCTCGAAGAAACCTGGGCATAATGCCCTGGACCCCAATAAAGACCTTTGGCTTATGTATGCCCCCACTTCATGTGCTCCCTGACCTCCATGGGTGTGGCCTCTGAGCATGCCATGCAACTCCTAGGACCTGTAAATAATAAAACCTTTATTTCCATCTCATGTCTCTCTTAATCATTGAAGAAGTGACCTCCATATTTAAAGGTCCTAAATTAAAACACAGAGTTATAAAAGCAGTCTATAAACAAACAAGAAAAAATAACAGACATTTTGGAAGCTGATCCACTACATCACATACAAGATGTAACATATACATCAACCAAGGTGCAAAATCAGTTGGAAAACAGATTGTGACAAGCAAAATGTATTTCTTACAACAACAATAGCTACCATGCTCTGCTATGTGGTGAAGTCAGCTCATCTGTAGGGTAACAGGCACATGTTATCACCCTCATTCACAGGTGAAGAAACTGAGGCTGGAAGTGGTTGAATTGCTTGTGGCAAGTTTGGAATCATAATGTCTGTTAGATCAGACATGCCTTTCTGTCTTAGAAATTCAAAGATCATTTCTTTTTTTTTTCTTTTTAAGACCAAGTGTTTCACGCTTGTTCAAACTAGAGTACAACAGCACTCCCAGCTCACTGCAACCTCCACCTCCCAGGTTCAAGCAATTCTTTTGCCTCAGCCTCCCATGTAGCTGAGATTACAAGCACACACCACCATGCCTGGCTAATTTTTTGTATTTTTTAGTAGAAATGGGGTTTCACCATGTTAGCCGGGCTGGTCTTGAACTCCTGACCTCAGGTGATCTGCCCACCTCAGCCTCCCAAAGTGCTGGGATTACAGGTGTGAGCCATCTCACCCAGCCCAAAGATCATTTCTTATGTTTTACTGTGTATCAAAATATGAACTCATAAAGAAACCAAATCCCTGCACTAAATGCAAACTTATAACCACAAGGCTTCATCTTGATCACCACTTTCCTGGATCTAACCACGGAAGTTTTCTAGGAAGGGGAGACTAGGCTTTAGCTCCATCTCACAGACAGCAAGAATGTAACTGAAATGCAGAAGGGAAAAGAAAGCTATCCAAGCAATTTCCATTTTATTCTTACAAACTGCTATTTGGGCAGAACAAATCCCTCTATACTGCCAATAAAAATAACACAGCTAAAAACATTTACGCTTGCGTTATCATTTATCTAAGCTAACCAGTTTTACTGTTTCTCTACAGTTATCTTAGCAGAGTTAAGCAAGATGGAAACAAATGAATTTCCTTTTAAGTGCTTTGAATAAGTAACCTGGGAAAGATTTATAAGGCTCTCTGCGTTTCTTCCACTGTTCAGTCAGTGGAATATTTTAAATAATCAATTGCAAAACCTCAGACTAGAGGAAGATAAATCATTTCTCATCCCTTTTACTGCTTCTCACAAACTTTAAGTGAAGTTATTTCAGCTACTCACGTAGGAATGTTGGAGGCCAGAAACTAAAGTATAGTGCCAGTAAAATGAGACAGAAGGCTGATTTATACCAAAAAATAACATAAAAACCTTTTCCAGAGTTCCCGGACAATGTGAATCTCAAAAGAATGTAACATTTACAACATGTGCATGTCCTGCTGACAGGTGAATTTGCGCAATGTCTTTGTTCAGAAGTTTCAAGAGGTAGCTTAGCAAAGTTGTGTTTTCTTTTAATTTTTTAAAAGAGTCACAAAATATTGGGTTGGTGCAAAAGTAATTGTGATTTTTCTAATAGAAAGTAATTGCGAAAACTGCAATGACTTTTGCACCAGCCTATACGTCTCACAAAACATTACTGAGAAGAGGAAGAGAAAAAAGGGAGGGAGAGGGTGTAAACAAAATCTAGATAGAACATTGCTGCACACGAAGTTCCAGACCCACAGCCTCACAGATGTATGGATTCATCTTACGGCAGAATTTTTAAAGCTACTGTTTAAAATTTAGAAAAAATCTACTTGAAATGATATCTATGATTTGCTTAAAAAAATAGTAAGAGAAAGAGTTTGGGGGGATAAAAGACATAAGACTGGCCACGAGCAGCCAATTGTTGAAGCCAGATGATAGCTACTTAGGAGTTAATTATATATTCTGATGATTTTTTATTAAGCTTCAAATTGTCCTTAATAATAAATTGGGTTTAGCAATGAAGTAACAGAAAGTGAATTAGGATAGGCCTCTTCTGTTTGCACTCATAATACAAAAAAGTTTCACCTTTCACATTTGTAATGCCACTTTCAGGAAGAGGGTGTTGCTGTAGTCTCTGATCACTAGAATATGAGGTCCGTAGGGGCAGGGATTTGTCATGTGCTTAGTGCCTAGAAAGCAGTCTGGCACTTAGTAGGTATGTGGCATACATTTGTTAAATGAAAAAAAAAAATGAATGAATGAATGTCTCCTGAGAGACAGAAGAATCAGGGCCTGTGTGGACCATTTTTAAACTCAATATAAGAAAATGCTTCCTAAGGAACTGTGGACATTGACTGGACCACCGCAGAGTTTTCTTTCCTACTTAGAGTGTCCTCTGCACATCCTATTCTTTCTCCAAATGCCCAACTGACTATTTGAGAACTGGGTCAAACATGAAGCTTTCCCAAGCCTAGCCTCTCCACAGCCCATTACTGGGGCAGAGAGAGTACCTCTCTTCACAGAGTCCTATATATACTCTCTCCAAGACTTATCACATTGTATTTGTTGACAAATCAGCTCATCATGGAGTCTGGCATAGAACATTCCCTATGTCAACTGATTAACAATTGGAAAGAGTTAAATTCCCTGTTGCGCAGGTTGTTTTAGTAGAGGCCAGACTGGCACTTCCTTGGGATCCTATAGAGGAGATGCAGGCATGATCCATTCAGTCCTTCACATTTATGGAGCACCCTTTATGTGCCAGGCCTATCATATGCAACTGTGATACCATGAGAAATAAAAATCATTGAGTTACAGTCTTTGTAAAACTTACAGGCTTGTGGGGGTCACAGAGAAGTAAATAAACCATTACAAAATTGTGTGATAGCACCAGAAGGGAAGCTCTAGATGCTAAGAAATCACATAGGAGGATGCCTGGGTAAGGTTCAGGAGCCAATGTCAAGGAGCACACTGGAAACTAAAGCATAAAGGATACGTAGGAATACAGCAAAATGGGGAAAGGGAAGGCTAGAAATTATTAGAGATAGGAGGAATTCATGGAAGGTAGAACTGAAGGTCTTCCAGGATCTCTATAAATCTTAAAAAATCTAGAATTTTAACCTGTTAAAATATGTAACACAGACTCAAATCCAAGGCTGGGACAGAATCCTGAGGAAGTACTTTCAGACTCATAAATACATACTTCTGAATTGGCCTTGAGCTGGCTTGCTTTCTTTATCTTTATTGTATGCAATAATTTGAACTGTATAATTCTGGTCTGGCATAAGACCTTGAATAATTGCTTTAGTTGCAGTGTTCTGGAGATTCAGCTGATTCGTTTTTCCACCTATAATAAAATAGAAAAATAAATCAGTTCTACGAAAGAAGGTTACTGTGTACATTAAGAAACTTTATTAATTAGCAATTGAGGTGTTAAAGAGTGAAGGCATGTTTGGAAATGTGTTTTATTTTATATATTTAATATTGTATATATTTATAGTATACACCATGATTATTATATGATGAATACATTTAAAAATACAAAAGGTGAATACATTTAAAAATACAATATATATGTGTATTGCACCTAATTACAATACAGTTTTCATTCTCTTTTCAGCTGTACTCTTTTTTCATTAGATAGCTTTAACAATTGTTGAAATTAGAGAAAACCAAATTCACGAAAATATTTCATCATAACACACTACTGCTTTAACATAGTAGGAAAATCCATAATAAAAGATTACAATACAACGAGGCCTCAGTATCAGATATACTCTTCAAGGAATGAATTCCACTTAAAAGTGAAGGGGAGGCTGGGCACCAAGGCTCATTCCTGTAATCCCAGCACTTTGGGAGGCCAAGGCAGGTGGATCACCTGAGGTCAGAAGTTCAAAACCAGCCTGGCCAACATGGTGAAACCCCATCTCTACTAAAAACACAAAAAATTAGGCAGCCATGGTGGTGCTCGCCTGCAGTCCCAGCTACTCAGGAGGCTGAGGCAGGAGAATTGCTTGAACCCAGGAGGTAAAGGTTGCAGTGAGCCATAACTGAGCCACTATACTCCAGCCTGGGTGACAGAGAGAGACTCCGCCTCAAAAAACAAACAAACAAAAAAAAAGTGAAGGGAGAGATATGGGCAAGCCAAATGTAATTATTTACACTGGAATTTATTTCTACGCCCTCTCTAAAGTGAGTCAAAGCATCCTTGAAACATGAGCAATTTCATTATCTTAAATCTGACCACAGATGGCTCAGGATACTGAAGGAATCACTCATTGGCTACTCAAAAGATAGCTTGGTTCATGAAAAAAATGTCAAAATCCCATCACCTCTCCGTCAAATTAGACTGACATCTAAGGCTTTCTTGAAAGTGCTGATAATTACTCAACTTTTATGCAGAATTCTACATTTTACTTTTCTTCTCTAATTTTTACCTGCAATTACTGTATCTGAGAAAAGGGAAATGGAAACTTCTGTCTCTCTAGCAGTATCAGCAAGAGAAGTCCGAAATTTGCTGAATTAGTCAGACATAATACAGATGATAATGTAATTCAATCATAGTCGAACAAAATTAATATTTTTAATTCAGAAATTTGATGCTGCTATTACCTGTGCTGCCTACTTCTGGAGGGCAAAATGGAGTCTTTCACTTGCCAAAACCCATTTCCCTGTATGCGTTGATGTTCAAGATGTTAAATCTGGTTTCAGGAACTTCTATCATTTAAAACTCATCTTCTAAAAAGTGCACCTAAATATCTGTCACTCTGTGTGTTTCACTAAAAAAAAAAAAAAGTGGCCGGGCGCGGTGGCTCACGCCTGTAATCCCAGCACTTTGGGAGGCCGAGGCGGGTGGATCACGAGGTCAAGAGATCGAGACCATCCTGGTCAACATGGTGAAACCCCGTCTCTACTAAAAATACAAAAAATTAGCTGGGCATGGTGGCGCGTGCCTGTAATCCCAGCTACTCGGGAGGCTGAGTCAGGAGAATTGCCTGAACCCAGGAGGCGGAGGTTGCGGTGAGCCGAGATCGCGCCATTGCACTCCAGCCTGGGTAACAAGAGCGAAACTTCGTCTCAAAAAAAAAAAAAAAAAGTTTCTAGAAAAAAAAATCCTGTATATTAGAGTCTCTCTTTGAGAGTTATGGAGTGTATTATTTTATTAAAGGCTTTGAGATTCCTGAAACAACAACAACAAAGCTTTAAACTCTGTTTAAACCAGCATTTCCCAAATTTATTTGACCATTAAACCATTGAGCTGCATCATAGCTATTAGCATCCGGCAGAATACCATGGAACACGCATTAGAAAGGCTGGCATAAACAACAGTTGGACCATGTCTCATGGTGTTGAAACAGCTATAAACATTTTGCGGCTAAATGTACTTATTACTATTTTTATTTACTATGTTTAATCAAATAGATACCATATTGTCAAGACTGATTGTCTTGATTGCTGCAGTGAGGAAACTGCAAAAATAAACCTAGCATTCAGGGAGAAATAATTTGCTTTCATTCCCTATTTTTATTTTGTCACAGGAGATGTCTAAGCAAGAACTAGACATCTACTTCTTGGGTACACTCTTCAAGAGGAGATTGAAGGATTCAGATTAAGGTTTGGTTCGGAGGCTACCTAAGTCACTTCTACAATTCTGTGATGCCTCAATAACACTTGATTGGGGGGTACTTAATAGTTTCGTATTATCAGCAATTCATCAGGAAAATTTAGGCTACCAATCACCTAAAGGAAAAAAATTACCTTTCAAGATTAGACATGGGGGATTCTCAGAGGTACCAAAAACTGGTAACTTGTATTTTAACCTTTAGAATCATAAATGTTCAAGAATCTTTTCAAGTTAAATTTAAATAAGCTATATTTTTAAAAATCAAAGAAATTTCAAAATTGAGTCATATTCCAAAATGAAAACCCTGAACCAGGTTTGAGTATATTGTTTTCCATAACCGAGTCACCTCTGTATGACATGGGAAAAGTGGACATCTAGTATTGCTCAACCAAAAGTCATTAATGAGCCTCTGGATAACATTTCTTAATAAAAGATAGGTCACATATCCAACCTGCATGATCTGCACATGTATCCCAGAGCTTAAAAAAAAAAAAAAAAAAAAAAGATAGTTTTGGGCCGGGCACGGTGGCTCACGCCTGTAATCCCAACACTTTGGGAGGCCCAGGTAGGCAGATGACCTGAGGTCAGGAGTTCAAGACCAGCCTGGCCAACATGGTGAAATCCCATCTGTACTAAAAATACAAAAAGTAGCTGGGTGTGGTGTCGGGCACCTGTAATTCCAGCTACTCAGGAGGGAGACAGGAGATTCACTGGAACCTGGGAGGTGGAGGATGCAGTGAGCCAAAATTCCAGCCTGGGCAACAAAGAGTGAAACTCTGTTTCAAATAAATAAATAAATAAATAATTCAAAAATAAAAGATATGTCCTTTTGGCGACCAAGCAAGAAACCAGGTGTTTCATCTGCTTGCCTTGTTCGAATGTTTACCTCAACTCTTGAGTAAGGCGTCCACATCTTAATGAACAAAAAGCATTGTTCTTCTTCATTGTATCTTTTAGAAAAAGGTCTACCACTGAAAGGAGTCTAGCTTCATATAACCCTCTTTATCACCAATGAAAAGAAAAAACAATTACTATATTTACATAAATACATATATTATACAAATATGCTATTATTAAGTACTTATTATGTACTCTGTGAAAATGGATCCTTGGAGAAGAAATGAGACCTGAGAGCAATCTTATGACAATCATAAGTAACATTTACTAAGCACTTACTATAATGACATCACTGTTCTAAGGGCTTTATATTTATTTTAAGTCTTCACAACCAGTACTTCGCAAATTTAATGTGCATAGGAATCACCTGGAGATCTTTTTTAAAATTCAGATGCTGATTGAGGAGGTCGAGGGTAGAGCCAGTATTCTGCATTTCTAACAAGCTCTCAAGTAATGCCAATGCTGCTGATCCCAGATCAACCTTGAGTTGCAAATTCATAGAGAACTCCACAGGTGGGTACAAATATTGTTTGCTCATTGTATAGAAGAAACTGAGACACCGAGTAATTAAATAACTTGCCTGAATCACACTACTTATAAGTCAATCAAGCTTTGAATTCAAGCAATTGAGTTGTTGATCCCATCTTCATCTTCAAAACAACCATGTAGCAGAGGCAGTTTCCCTACATGCTTTGTATTATTTTGGTTGATTATATTTGTATAATAAAACATAAAATATGAGAAAGAAAAATTTAACCAAATGATGCTTAAAGATCATTATTTAAAGACACTTCATTCAAAGCATCTTTAAATAATGAAGTATCTTTAAGCATCATCTAAACATCATCTTTAAAATAAAGATGCTTAATTTAAAGCATCCTTAAGTAACTATTCATGACCAAAAAATGTGTTCAACTTATGCTTTTCCTGCCTTATCATTTATTTTCACAATGTCTACTTTGCCTTTATAATTTTAATGTGTAATGCTGAATATTATTCTGTTGAGTTAATTAATCATAACTTATGCAACCAGTCACAACTATTGGACACTCAGATGCATTGTATTTTTTAAGCTCCAACGAATTCAAAGTATTCATTTTATGTCTAAACAGAAGAAGTACAACTTGTTGATTGTCTGATAATTTTTGGCTGAAAAGAACTATAGCCAAGAGTCACTTTTTACTCTTTGGAGAACATTATTGCATTGATTAGAGGGTAAGACTTTAGACTCTAAACAAAACAAAAAGCTTTCAAATAATCCTAACACAATGCTTGGCACTACATGTTTTTTGTTTGTTTGTTTGAGATGGAGTCTCGCTGTGTCACCCAGGCTGAAGTGCAGTGGTGTGATCTTGGCTCACTGCAACCTCCACCTCCCGGGTTCCATCAATTCTCCTGCCTCAACCTCCTGAGTAGCTGGGACTACAGGCACGTGCCACCATGCCCGGCTAATTTTTTGTATTTTTTAGTGGAGACGGGGTTTTACCATATTGGCCAGGCTGGTCTCAAACTCGTGGCCTCATGATCCACCCGCCTCAGCCTCCCAAAGTGCTGGGATTACAGGTGTGAGCCACCATGCCTGGCCAGCACTACATGTTTTTAGTTACCCATGAATAAAACGTTGCTAATGCTCTACTAAATACAGTCAATTGTTTTTACCTGAAGCTGGAGTCACAAGAAGTTTGTAACCACCAAATTTCCCTCTTGGAGCCTTCCATGAAATCTGTATACTGTCATGAGATATTACATTATATCTTAACCTTGTGGGTGGAGCCACTGAAAAGGAAAAACAAAAATAATGTGAACATTATAACATTTAAGCTCCTATTTGTTAAATCAAAAAGTCAAAGTAATATAAACAAAATACACATAAAAGGCTTCCTCAGCCTCAAAATACATATATTTTTTTACAATCCCATTAATGAACTCATCAGTTTGCAAAATAACACAAGCCTAAGAGCATTTGTTTCTTACCCAAAAGATATCCATTTGTCAAATAGTAGTGACCTTGTGACAAAGAACTAAGAAGTGTTAGAATTTAACACTCTTGCCAAGTTTAATAATTAAAGCCAATTTTGTAAAATGTTTTGATTATGTTACAAGGATAAATTTTTCTCCTTGAAACATGTGAGCTTCTATAATCTACTCTACTGAGAACTGTTGCATGTCCTTAGGTTTTTCACTCGGGTAATCCAATATTTTTGATTATATGATAATTTGAGAAGGCTGTTACGGATATATTATGAAAATCAGATATTCATTTTAAAATATTTGAAAAAGTGATTGTAAAGGCATTCAGGACCAAGTAAAAGATAATTATGTTTTATAAACTTGGATCCAGTTTTCAAAGATAACTGATTTATGCCTGTCAGAAGCATACAAAGCACATGGTCATGAATCAGCACAGAATGTTTTATCTTTTCTGACAGTTTACAAAAATGAATAGATCTGTATTACTTTTTGTGTAGGTCATTCAAACTTCAAAACACACTTCTGGAACTCTACACAAATGTTCCAGTATTTCAAAAAAGGTAAGAATGTTTTTATTATATACTCTCTAACTTAGTTTCTTAGAAAAGCTAATACTTAACAGAAAAGTTTGCCTTTCTTACCTACTTTTAAGCCCAGCCTTTCTTTCTCATTTTAAAAAACAATATAGAGAAAGAAACAGACATTTTCCTACATAGGCATGGGGCATAATATGGGGTTTGGATATTAGTTTCATTCCCAGTTCTACCACTTAGTTAATAATCTTGAGCAGGCTATGTTTTTTTCCAAACCTGTTTCTTTATTTATAGAAAGGGTGACAGCAATACTTTTTTGCAAAGGAGAGATGACAACTTTAAATAGGATAATGGATATAATGAATGGAATGCATTATAATAGGGGATCAATAAATATTTTTTCCCTTTCCCTTACTTCATGTAATGATTCAGCTTAAAAGCTCACTTAATCTTCAAAACATACATTCCTATTCCAATTTTATAGGTAAAGGAAACAAGGTGCAACTAAGATACTTGCCCAAGTCCACGTACTGGTGAAGGACAATCTCTGACCCCAGATGAAATGCACTGTTTCTTTGAAAGATTATTCATATTAAGAAGTCACCCTCAGCCAGCTGCGGTAGCTCACGCCTATAATCCTGGCACTGGGAGGCCAAAATGGGTGGATCACCTCAGGTCAGGAGTTTGAGACCAGCCTGACCAACATGGTGAAATCCCATCTCTATTAAAAATACAAAATTAGCCAGGTGTGGTGGCACACACCTGTAGTCACAGCTACTAAGGAGGCTGAGACAGGAGAATACATTGCATTGGGGAGGCAGAGACTACAGGGAGCCAAGATCATGCTACTGCACTCCCACCTGGGAACGACAGAGCAAGACTCTGTCTCAAAAAAAAAAAAAAAGTCACCCTTCATTGAGCTATGTGAATGAAGAATTAACTACTCCACAAAATATCCACTCATCTGAAATCAGTAAGCACTGTAAGACAATTTTAAGAATAGATTTTCTTTCTAGTTGTCCTTTACTACCTCTATGTAGAGAATGCTAGCCACGCAGAATAAAAACATTAGCTTCCTGTTCTCAATGTGACATGAATGGAAGAAAGAGCTTACATTTCTCTGGCTAATGAGAAAGCATAAATTTATCATAAGAATAACTTTTTGCTGGTTGCGGTGGCTCACACCTGTAATCCCAGCACTTTGGGAGGCCCAAATGGGCGAATCACAAGGTCAAGAGATTGAGACCGTCCTGGCTAACATGGTGAAACCTTGCCTCTACTAAAAATACAAAAATTAACTGGGAGTGGTTGCACACACCTGTACTCCCAGCTACTCAGGAGGCTGAGGCATCGCTTGAACCTAGCAGGTGGACATTGCAGTTAGCCGAGATCGTGCCACTGCCCTTCAGCCTGATGGCAGAGTGAGACTCTGTCTCAAAAAAAAAAAAAAGAAAGAATAACTTTTTTCAAATGGAAGAGAAAGGTATCTGAACCTAATATTTAGATGAACAGAAAAACTGTTATAATTTTTCCTAGTTATCAACATGAGAAGAAAATTTATTAATAGATAAAGAGGTTTGTATTACTTATGGAAGAAAATTAAAAGTAAGAATTTTTAAAAATTAAACAATGTTTACAAGTTTCTGAGTCATATCAAGTCAGTGGACTAGCAAATGTCACTGCCCAAGTTTTTGCATGAATGAGCTGCTGAAAGAAAGCTGTCCTGGGAAACATCAAGTGGAAAAGTACAAATAGGATGGAGGCTTCAATCTAGGAAATTTCAAAAGAGAAAACGATTCCATTAGCACTCCAGGTGTGTTGACATCTCAGAACAGCAAACAGCATTCAGGATTCCTAGGTTAAAAATTATAAAATTTTAGGGCATTTTCTATCCATGCTACTACTCTCTAAATGTTGTCTGAGTTTGTAGCCCTCAACACCTCTTAGTTAATAGACAGGCTTCTAAATATCCAGTAGAAAATGAGGGCAACGTGGACCATGTTCAGATAATTTGGATGGTGTTCTAGAACCAAGAGTGGCATCAGCTCCCATCCAATTGCTCAAGAAAACAAAGTGTAAAAGTGTTGAAGCAAATGCAACAACCAAATCCATCAATACTCAACTCTTTTATTAATTTACAAATGATTCAACTGTCTACAGTCCCATTACAACCACTAGCCAAAAGGAGTATCATTATTACCTTTTATCAGCAGACCACATCTATTGCCTAGAGAAGCATAAATACTCTCACAGTCATTAAAAGGAAATCTTGGTTAAACATAAAATTCACACTTTCTTTAGAGTTCTGCCCTTTACAAAATATTGAAAAGAAGACATGCTAGTTAACAAAGAAAGAGGCATGAGGTCACAGCTGTGGATTTCAAAGTCAGCTTTTTCCCCCCTTTTAGAAGGCACTGGGACTTGAGCCAAAGCAAGGACAGCAGGATTGACAGAAACACTGTTAAGTGTTGTGGAGAAATAATTGCTCTTATCTCATGGAACAAAACTTTGTGTACATTTTATACCAGTCCCATGATTTTTCTTTTTGCAAGCACAAAGGAATTGCTTTTTAAAAATACATATACTTAACTTCCATTAATAATTATAAATGCTTGCATGAACTTGACTCAAAAGTTAATTTATGTCAGTTCAAATCCTAATCTTTTTAAACAAACAAATATCAAATGTAAAATTTGACTTCCAGCACACACCAAGACCCCAGAGGAAACCAACAGACTCATCCTTTGCATGGCGAAGTGCAAAGGATGAGATTGCACACGGGTGAGGCCTGATATAAGACTCGTGCCTATATAAACATCATCCTAAAGGGAAATGGATGGGGAAAGACTGAGGAGCAGCTACTCACTGTCTTCCACTCCAGGGTTAGGCTTGTTATTGAAAGTGTAGGGGCATTTTTTCTTTCTTTTTTTTTTTTTCCTGGAGACGGAATCTCGCTCTGTCACCTAGGCTGGAGTGCACTGGCATAATCTTGGTTCACTGCAACCTCCGCCTCCTGGGTTCAAGCAATTCTCCTGCCTCAGGCTCCCAAGTAACTGGGATTACATGTGCAGGCCACCATGCCAGACTAATTTTTTGTATCTTAGTATAGACAGGGTTTCACCGTGTTGCCCAGGCTGGTCTTGAACTCCTGAGCTCAGGCAATCCTCCCACCTCAGTCTCCCAAAGTTCTGGGATTACAGTCATGAGGCACCATGCCTGGTCTAGAAGCATTTTTGTTTTGCTGTGCTGTGTTGCACTTTGTTTGCGAGGCAAGATTTTCCTTAAACCAAAAGAATACTGCTATCATTCCCATAGAAGTTCATAGGCAGGAGAGAAATGTTTATGTCATTCCATTGAAGCCTCACTGTTATCGAGCATTTGGAAAATTCTATTTCATAATCTATTCATTAAAGGGTTGACTTTTGGCTGTCCCTTTTTACCTTCCTTCTGTCCTTCCTTTCTTCTCATCTCAATTTGAATGCTTACTGTTTTGTCAAGTGACAGTCTATATAAAGATACTTACTACAATAAAATATTCACATTTGTTTGTTAAAATGCTAGTTTTTACACAGGGACACTGAAATGGACATCTTGTGTTCTTCACTACCCATAATCGCATCTCCTCTTCCTTATGTAACAGCATCCTGGTTCTCTTCCAAGGAACAACGCCCCTTCCCCCACTGCATAGAGCCGGCCATCTTCCCCTGGCTAAAGGCTGGGAAAATCACTCAAACCAGGTCAAGTAGACTCTCCCAAGAATCTGAAACTTGACTCCTGTGATGCAGGGATGGAAAATAGCTCCAGTCATTCCAACAACATGCCCTAAGAAAAATGGTCATTAGTTCCTACAGCCTGTATCCCAGAGGGTTTCCCAGATTCCTATCCTTTTCAAAGCTTGATTATTTACTTTTACTTTGATTATATGAGCTACTGCATTACCCAATACATTTTTGCTTAGTTGACCAGAGAAAATTAATTTTATTTGCAACCACAAATTTCTGGTTGATAAAGATAATGCAGTATGAATCATATTGAGAGTTTTTATCTCTTTAAAACACATTTTAGGGTGCTAAGTTGATAGGACAACTGATTATATTTATTTTTAAAAGACTTTTCAACAGCAGAGAAGTATTTGGCTATTTTTATCCAAGTAATCAAAAAAAAATAATTGACAGGGCACAGCGGCTCACATCTGTAATCTCAGCACTTTGGGAGGCCAAGGCAAGCGGATTGCTGGAGCCCAGGAGTTTGAGGCCAGCCTGGGAAACATGG